ATTTTATAATGTAATAATAATTAATAAAATTGTTAAAGAAAATAGACGATTTGTTTAGCTACAAATGGACTTATATCACTTTCAATAATAACGAAGTATGAAAAATGTGAATAGTAGCAATTTTAAAGTTATAGTTAAATTGATGTTGCCTTTTCTGAAATCTATTTTTTCAATGTAAGAAGTAATAATTAAAATAAAGACATGTAAGTAAACAAATAATCGACTTTATTAAATGTATAAATGTATAATGTAAGAGTTGTTCTATGAGTTGGTAATTTTTTGCAAAATAAAGATCACAAAATTATGGGATCCGTACTGTGTTTAATTAATTTTTGGTCATTTTGAGGGTTGGTAGGTAGTTTCAGCATAACTTGACTCAATTATACATAATTGTTTTAATAAGGAGTATACATATACGAAAAATTCGACATGCAATTATGTATTTAAAAGGAACAGTACCTAAGGAGGGTAGTGGAATTTTCTGTACATTCCGACACTTTCGTTTTCTCTCATACTTGTTTCGGAAGTTCCTGCATCATTACAGAACATCCCCCGTGAGAGTTCTTAATGCGAGCGACTGCATAGTATTGCTACAAGTTAAGAGAACGTATGATTTTTTAATGTGTATGGCACAATTACATGCAGAACAAAGACACGAGTCACAAATTGGTTGTACAGTAGACTTACGTTAAAGTAGCAGTAGAAACGCCTCAGCACACATGCATTACTCACGCACGTGCGCGCACCCCACTATTGGTCGCCATCTGTAACCAACGTTATGATACAATTGGTGGATCGACCGAACTGCCAGGAGATCCTGCGTGCCCATTAGCTCACGTTAAAGTAGCGTTTCCAGGAAAAAAAAGCCTCAAGAGCCCCGCACCACTACTTTAACGTGATACTACTCTATGTACATTTTATGTTAGTACATATACGTATGCTTGTAAAGTGCAATTACGCTCGTTTTTAGAGTATATTTCATTCGTTCTTAATATTTACCCGCAATATAAGTTTCAAAAAGACTTGTGATGCAACCAAAAAGAATACGATTTTATTGATAACAACACGTTCTAAATATTCTCTAATTTATTATTAATAATAATTTTTCTAATTTTTAGTATTGGTAAAAGGAACAGAATAAAATTTGTTGGGTGCAGATTCATTTTGGGGAACATTAAAATGGAAACTCTGTAGACAGCATGTACGACAACATTAAGAATAATGAGTTTATAAATACACAGGGTGTCTCACCTGATACTACCATCTTGATTTGCGTGACTAATATTATCCATAACGAAAAATGTATTAAATAAAAGTTGAATAGTTTCGAGGAGGGCACATTTTGATATCAATTTTTTTGTGGATGGATGCGTAAGGGATCTGTATAAGATCAACTTTGTTTTTTTTTAAATAGAATCATAAAAAAGTACTGAGCCTTATTAGCCGTAAACTTAATAATAATTAACGAATAATTTCACCTTGTTTCTTGAAAATGGTCTGTGCGTAATATCAAGTTGGAGATTCAATGCCAGCAAAGATTTCCGTAAGACTTCTTCCATTCACATTAATACACTGATGTAATCTATTAATCAATGAGGAAACTGCAGGTAACAATAAATAATTACGAATTCCTTTCACTGTGACCATTATACAATATTCTTCGACGACAAATGAAGTTAAAAATGCCGACCATGTTTACGTAATTAAATTTTCCAATAATTTCCTCAAAAATTTCCTTCGGTTATGGTTTCTTATTTGATACCTTCAAATTACACGAGATTCATAGTGAGCACGAAATTCGTATGCGTCGTAAAAACAAACAGCCGTCTATGACCCGTGTGTTTCTCTTTATTTCTAAAGGTTGCAAAGTGAACTGCAATTGTGTTCGTGGGAAGTAATTCCTGGCATTCTGTATTTTCTACATTGCATATACGAATACTTCTCGCAATACGATGTGTAATTAGGAATAGGAAAACGAAACAAGTATGATGTACCTACTTTCAAAAATTGTATGTATCTCGTTCCATATATGTGTCGTGGCCTACTTTCGACTCAGCAATTACGTGAAAATAAACGAATTATGCGCGCTCAGACAATGCTGCGCGAAATTAGAATGTTTTTCTGTTCCGAATGAAAGTGCATGATAGACATTAGGCATTTAAAGGGTCATTTCCTAGAAATATTGACTCTCGTAGCAGAGACTATTTGGTTTCTTCAAGTCCTTATTAATATTTTCATTCTCCCCTGCTTTTCGACTTTAGGAGGTTCCCAGTCTCCCTTCCATTTACATTTCCCTTTTACATACATATATACATGTATAAGTATATGTATAGCTTTAAATTTTGTTTTGACGTTGGACAATCGTTCCTAATTAATATCGTAAGCAGTATTAAGTAGTATAAAAGTATATTATCTGTAGTTTAAAGAAAGCTAGGTGTATTTTTATAACAGTAAAATTATTGAAAAAATTTCCAAGGATTATGACATGGCGATATATTATATAAGCCCTACAGTGTTTGTACAGACATATTATTTTTACAATGTAAATTTTCCAATGTTTGAAATAAAATGAATGTTTATTAAGTTTTGTTTTACTGTAATAACATTTACCTCACCTGTAAAACGTCTGTGACACGTCCTTGACGATTGAAGTTTTTAGTATGTTATTAACTTTATTAAGACAAGGGTTCGTTGATGACCTTCTATTATACATATATGTATATGTATCTTATACCATACACAGGGTGGGGCAATAACTATGTCCACTTTGAATATTGCCGTTATTTGTAATAATATAAAAAAATGTTATATACAAAATTTACACGGTATAGAGGAGGGCATATTGTGATACAAACATTTTCTGCGTGGGTGAAGGCATAGAGAAGATTTCAAGGTCATCCCTATTTTTTTTAATGGAATGCTATGTTTTTTTTATCGTGATGTGATAGCCAGTATTGAGACGACTTCAGCGAGCTATCATTGAAGGTCATGCAAGGTCAAATGTGGTAGTAAAATAAACTTTCTTACATTACAGGAGATGCTCGAAGTGGTGACCGTTTGCATCAATGTAAAGTTGCAATGTTCGTATCGCTGCATCACGTGCATGTCTTATCGTTTTTGAACTTATTCTAGCACATGCTGCAATTATCCGTTGTTTCATATTTTCTGGTGTAGTGGGTATTTCTAGATAAACAGTATTTTTCAATGCTCCCCAGAGAAAAAAATCTAATGGGGTTAAATCTGGAAACCGAGGTGGCCAAGAAACTAATCCTGCACGTCCCATCCATTTATTTGGGTCAAGTTCGTTCAGTGCATCTCTTAATCTCCGAGCATAATGTGCTGGACATCCGTCGTGCTGTAACCACATCATTTAGCGAACGTTTAGTGGTACATTTTCTAACAAAGTCCCCTATGAAATAATACAGCATTTTTACATAATTATATTAAGAATTAATGATTACCTGCATAGAATTTCGAATGCTGTAATCAGTCAATGGAAACAGAGGCAGGTGGTCAGAAATTTTTTATGTAGATATTTTGTCGTTAAAAATAACGTGGGTACTCTAAATAATGACTATAATTCATGTGATCTCATACTTTTAGCCTGGTGTACGCACTCTGAAACTTTTTCATAATCCATTACAATTAACGATTCTATCAGTGGAACCATTACTAATAATCTTAGAACGACACTATGATCATATATTAACGATCCAGAAGAACTTTAATGTTTTTCATAAACATATCAATAAACGCAAAAATCAAAACACTAAATTTTTGTTAACACTTACAAATTCTTGCGTTTACAGAATCTTAGATTGTAGAAGTTTATGTGGCAATTTATGAAAAATGAAGACAAACGAATTCGTATGTACCTCACAAGTATTTTATACTTTTAAATATATCGCCCAAGTTTATGATAATTCGTATTTCCGTAAACTAATTTTGTAAAATTCGAATTAAATAGAAATTTATTTATATCGAGGATTTTGTTGTGTTACAGATACCACAAAAATTATGTTACACATTATTTAATTCTTTTATATCTTTTTTTTTATATCTTAAATCATACACTCATACTAAAAATATATAAATTTCGCTAATGTAACAAATTTTTAGGAATTTCACAACATAGTGGTGAATATTCTGTGAAAATACCATTTATAGTTTTAAGATTATTCCTAAAGAGTCACATTCTTATTCCGTCACGAAATAATCAATTCTTAACGTATTTAAATAAATTTTACTATTCATTTCCCCCTACTGAATCTATACATTAAAAAAATTAGAATAAACGATTTCTCTCTTACCAATTACGCGGTTCAAAGTGAACCATTCAATTAAAAACCATTAGCGGTTGATGTACAAAAGATAAATAGATACTTTCATAATACACGTATTAATTTCTTATGAAAAATGTATGATAGGTTTAAGAACAAAGTAATCCACTATTTCTTTACTAAAATGATAATACCGATTAAAATTTCTATACAGGATGGACCAGAAAAATTACTATGGACCTGAGAGCATAATTTTTCTAGCAATAGTTGTTTTTCAAGAAAATCGTTAAGACCATATGATAGCTTTCTTTACACTCAATAACTACGAATAACTTTCCTCTTAAAAAATAATGACGTTGACTATCACATGAACGTAGGTAACTTTTAATGGTCCACACTGTATTCTCGAGTTCTTGAATTGAAAGGACGAACATTATTAACACTAGAACTACTAAAAGCAATCAATATGACTTAATATATTCTTATAACGATAATTAAAATATTACAAAAATGCATTTTTTTCAGATCCTTTACAATTTTTACTGCAATATGCAAGCGAAGACCTGAATTAATTTATTAATTTGTATATTCCCAAAAGCTTGGGTTATCGATTTGATAGAAATATATAGATACAGGTTTATTGTCGGTAGTTCCAATGTTAAATTAAAGGAATATATGTTTTTGATCATCTCAAGACTAAATGTTCAATTTAATGAAAAAGAAACAGTTGGTTACTTATTCGTATACCTGATATTAAAAATGTTACATTTCTCGTGATCGAATTCAGGGATTTAGAAGTTCTCGATGCTTCGTGTTTTCATTGCGATTAAATTTTCGCCGCGCGTTAGCATCGAGATGAGAATTTGCTTAAAATTACACCGCCTCGTCGATCTGCTAATTTTTTAATCGATAGCCAATTGTCGGAACGATCCGTCGAGACCGAACAGATCGTCGTGAGTTTTTGGCTTTCCAGGTCGGAGGGCTTCGTTCGTTCTCACAGATTCCTGTTCTTTGAACCACGGTCCGTACTCTTCGAGCTTCTGCATCCAGATGTCTAAAAGAAAAAAGAGGTGGTCAGATTCATTCCGAGTTGCTCGAAATCTTTCTCGTAAATTATTCGTTTTTAAGTAAATCTCGTAAGATCTCGTTTAGCAACAAAATTTGATTTAGAAAAGTCGAACCTTCTTTATTTAACTCTTTAACTACCAGTGTTGCACCGGCGCCACATTTACATATTTTAAAAGTGCGTCAAATTCTGCAGCCGGTTAGTACCGTGGGCGATCAAAATATTCTGAACACTTCGAAGTACAATTCATTTGAATTTTTATCAAGAACAGAATTGAAAATACCCTTATAATAGTACTTTTATTACAAAATATATTCTTATGTTTTTACTGACGTATGACAACGATTATAATTTCTCAAAAAATATATGTACCAATACTTCGTCACGTCACCCTTCGCATCTACGTATGACAGTTGGAAATCTTCTCGCCGTACTTTCGATATTTTTTGAAACACTATAATTTAACAGTGTTCGAGCAAATAATAATCAAGGAGACCAACAATTAACAAAAGAAACATAAATCGGCAGTAAGAAGTCACACTTAGGAATTATCAACGGTAGCACAATTTGGTAACTTGTTATTGTATAAATATGCGTCTTACTGTACACTGATTACTGAACATACCAAAATATAGTTTAATTGTGTATTTATATGTTAAGAAAAAAACAAAGGGTATACTTCATTGTTATTGAAGTCATATGACAACACAGAAAACATAAAATATGTGATTTTTGTCATCTGTTCATAATAATTTGATCACTCATTGTATCTAATTATTGTCACCGTAGTTCACTGATGTGAAGGTGATCTTCAAGCTTTCCGTTGAGAAATTCAAATATTCCCTCAAAAAAAAAAAAATGATGGAAAAGAAATGAAAAAATAGGTCTGCTTAATATTGATATTTTCAACTTCAAAATAACAAGATACAACATATACATCAGTCTCATAATTTTGAAATAACGATTTAAGTGTCTGGGTGTTAAAGGGTTCAATTTAACACTAGGTTTTATGGATATTTCTTATACTCCTATCTCAACGGACACGCGTCAACGAAACTGCACATTTTCTTTAAAAAGCAACTCATTTTTTTTAATATTCAATTTATGATAGCATCAAATTGTCACGTATCCGAAGAGATAGGTACAACACACAGAGAATTTCGAGATTAGAAGGCATTCGAAATGCGTGAGAATGCCACGTCCCGTAAACCTAGTGTTAAAAAAGAGAAACATAATCGTGTTAAGATTAATAAGAATCAAGGATATAAACTTATTTTTAAGTTTGAGATTTAAGTAAAAATTATGTACGGTCGAAAACGTATCGTATTTAGTACGATTTACGTGGTGTGTCTACGTGAAGTAGACTAAATTATATACAGGACTGTAGAATGGTTGCCTTCTTGCAGGCGATTCTGCTATCAGCAACGTCGAACGCGAATGCAACGTCCGATCAAAAAAGTTCGGGGATTTTACGTATCAATGGTTTATTATTAATCTTAACAATAATTACATAGGATCACCTTCAAAGTAAACTCCTTCTGCCCTTCTATATTTTCGTAATCAGTTTTTTCAGTTTTTGAAAGCAGCGTAGTAAGTGGACGTCGGCCACCCGCAATTTCTTAATTATTGTTTCTAGTGAGGGGCACTTTTCAAGGGTGTATAAGCGCAGGTGGACATTACTTTGAAAGCGATTATATGTAATTATTGTTACGATTAACAAATTATTTATACATACAGTCACCGAACTCTGACCAGACGTTGTAGCTAGCAACTAAAAAATGAAACTATATGAAATATACATGTATGTACAGTAAGCTTTTTTTCATCGTTATGATGTATAGAATCGATCCTCCAACTAACCACACTTTGAAAAGCAAGCCCTATAGATAGTCTAGTGACATATGCATATCCATTAATATTGTAATTCATTTCACTTGGACTTGACTTGATATACAGGGTGGTCTACGCAACTTGCATACCTTAAATAACTTCTAAAGTATGCATTGCATGAACAAATTTGTTATACACAGGGCGCATAGTCTGGAGGGATACATTATGTAGTGCATATCATTTTTTTGTAAGTGGAGGCGTTTCAGACATTTCAAGGTCAAATTCGTTATTTTAAATGGAATGCTATATGTTTTATGCCAAAATATCGAAAAGTATTAAATTCTGATTAAAATAGTATTGACCTTTATTAGCTCTAAACCTAATAATTAACGAGCAATTTCACCTCATTTCTCGAAAATGTACTGTGCGTGATATCAAATTGAAGATTCAATATCACCAAAGATCTCCGTCAAAGCACACGGTGTTTACGTGGCAATGTTTATTAAAATTACAGATTCTGCATAATCGCAATCGCCTATTCTGTCCGTGTTTCAATATTAAGAAAGAGTCGAAGTAAGATAAAAGTAAAATCAAAGCATGTCAGTAAGATAAAAACAAAAATAAAATTTAATAACTATATAGCTATGTATGCCGAAATTTCTCCTGAACGAAATCAGACATGTGGATGGATATTCGAGAGACTTTGTAAATCGCTTCGATAAAGTGGATGTTTTAATATTTCCAAATGTAGTTACCAAACGAAAATCCCCTTATTACTTGGGGAATAAACAAACGGAGTTTTAGGGCGTTTTCAAAAGGGCGAGTGAAAAATGAAAATTATTCTCCATACTACAAATGCATAAATATTCGCAGTGTGGTAATAATAAAGGTGCCTAATACTTTTGGCCAAGGCACTATATTTGAACCCCAAAGCCAGAGTGTATTAAGTCACACTTCTTCAACTTTAAACAAAAACGTTGTAACTTTGGAACCGGTCGGTAAGGATTCAACGAGACACAATAGCTACCTTCGAACTATTGAATGGATTTAAGACAAGTCTCGATATGTAGAATCGATGAATATTCCATTAAGTCCCCTATGTGATGGACTTTGTACTGTTTAGCTCGGGAACAAGATATGGACTTATTATCAGTTGAACACTATTATATTAAAAACTAAACAACTTAAAATGGAATAATTTTTATCATCGGCAAGAGCGAAAAATTTTGATAGGGAAATATGTGAAATGTCATACTCTTTTTAAAAAGTGGACTTAAGGGGTTAGGTCTGGGTTAGGTCAGTCAGAAATTTTCAAAAAATCGATTTTTCACTTTCTACGTTTTCTTTAAGTACAACATCTTGAGAATATTCTGTGCAAGTTTCAAGGTAATCCATTTAAAAATGACAGAGTTACAGGCGTTAAAATATGAACATTTTGTATAAGTGCAAGCTTGACTTGAAACTTTAAACGCGTGTTTCTCGAAACTACATTTTTCAAATCGGTGATCAATATTTCCCGAAAACTACTGTGTCGATTTACATGAAGCCTTTTGCGTCTTATTTCAAATCAGAAAAACTTGTCTTTGAACGAAGAATTCTTTTGTTCGTTCCATACTTTTTTTTTAATTGATCAAAAACGAATGATTTTTTAGGTGAAAATCGCACTTTTTCAGGAAAACGTCCGCTATTTTGTTCCTAATCAATATTTTGAAAAATCCCACGTTCAAGGACAAGATTGGTTCTTCCATTACATAAATCTTACTGAATTTTTAATTTCAGATGAACCGTTACGAAGTTACAGTGATCACGGCAGACCACTTTTTGTGAAGAGACATCCCGGAGATCGCTCACCATTTATTTACTAATAAATATTTTTAAATAAAAAAATTACCTTATAATCTGGAAACTGCAATCTTTGAAACACAAACACATTTTTTAAAAAAGGTCTTATAGTTCTCGAGGAAAAAAAATTCCCAAAGAACATTCTTTTTTCGGTCTTCTGACTAGAGCATGACCCCTTAATAAACTTTAGCTCTGAGGTTCACATATTGATGACGGTTAAACCCATGCAATTTAGACACGGTTCAAGAATTCTCCAGCTACTTCTTCGAATAATGTGAATTAAACAATTTCTGGCGTACCATGTATAGCTTGAATAGGTCCGGCATCGCCGCCATACTCGCTCGGCAGTATTTCCTTAGGGATGTACTCGTACAACGTCTTCATGTCGCTGTGCATGAATATTCTGTTCCTTATCTTCTCCTTGAGGAACGGTTTTACGAAATTCACGATCGTGTCCACGAGCGGGCTGACGTTCACCACGTGCACCTCCTTCAGCTTCACTGGATACGCCTCCTGCACGCAGACCAGGAACTTCTTCACGATCGCGGGCGTGAACTTGGCGAAATGCGAGGGTGTTGCGACACTCGCGTCCAAAATGTAAACGTCGCCCGCGACACCGACCGCTTCCTCCTTCAAACGGATGTCACCGATCATTAGGACCAGCTTCATCGCCTCCGCCACGTTAGGGGTCGGGTGGTCCTTGTCCAATCCTCGCATAACGATCACTCGTCGACCGTTCTTTGTGAGACCGGGTAGCGGTGGTATCTGGCTACAATTATAGTAATTGCGTAAATCTCACGGAGGAATTGGGATTACAGTCTGTCCCACACGAGTATTGGAATGAAATGTAGAAAAATAATTGATATTTTTCAAAAATTCAAAAGCATACTTATAGCACATCTAAAACACTACGACGCGGGCATTAAGAATCGGTCCTTTCGGCTTCGTCTGTCATTGTAAACACTCGAATCTTAAAATGAGTGCAGCGTACGCTAAACGGTTCGAAGCAGTGTTTCTTTGCTCACGTCCCAAAGGAACTAAATTGATCTTCTCAGCGACGGCTCGTTGTATGAAAAAGTCAAAAGAGTTTGTAAGGAAGTGAGTGAAACAGTATAGGACTGCAAAGAATGTTGATAATTTTGAAAAGAGAGGGGAAACGCGTATGACAAGTAATAGAAGGGATGAAACAATTAGAAAATTTTTAAACATTTTTAAAAAATTTATAAAGAATGATTTGTCGAGAGTGGTTTGGTGAATATAATTCGTCTTGGGTCTTACAAGAAGGCAATGATCAAAAACATCGGAGCCAGCTGTATACTTTGTGGACAATAGAAAATGATATCTAAACACCAAACTGGCCTTCATAATCACCAGACGTTAATCCGATTGAAAATGTCTGGAGCATCGTCAAACTTAAGCTTCGTTGAAGGCCTATACTTACTTTAGAGCAGCTGTATCGCCAATTTAAAAAAATATGAAGGACATTCCCTGAGTGGTATGCGAATAATTTAAAGGGTACGAGCAAAAGCGTAGAGGCTATATATAAAAATGAGGGGATTATGCATTATATTAGGTAATTTCGTGCGAGTATTTGGATGTACTATGAGCCTGTTTTTCAATTTTTTTAAATTATCAATTATTTGTTTAGATATTGTTCCAACGCTCTTGTGGAACAGACTGTATATTATAAACATTTGTACTTATGGATTTTTATTCACAAGGAGAGGGACCCAACTTCGAGTCATCGTTTTTCTTGAAACTTTTACGACTAAATTAGTAAGCTTCTTTCTTTTCACACGGTTTTCTTTTAGGTTGGTTACTCTGTTTGCCTGTGTACAATCGTGAAATCAATCCATTACAGTAAATCCTCGATGAGTGTTCGAAGGCTTCTCAGCACTTTCAAGAACAGGGTGACTTTTCAATGGGGTTCAGCACAGTGATAGCGCTTGGAATTCTGAAGCCAATGATATTTGTTTCAGCCGCATATGGCCATTAGTTTATGAAATATTTAATGTTCAGTACCGAGGAGCCTTCGAACAGTCATCGAGGATTCACTATACTTGGCATTGATAGTGGCATGACTAAAGAAAATGTAAGTTTTACAGAGGCTTTTTCAAATTTACATTTGTGAAACTAAGGCCAAATGAATAACGACGTAACTGCCCTCGGTCGCAAAACTGATGGAATTGTAAATATGCCGTTTTACATGATAAAAATAGAAACATAATGTGGACCTTGTATTGAATAAAAGCAAATAAAAAAATTGATCAGTTGTGCCCCTATTAATGCCAAACAGCGAATTTTTTACCCACTTTTACCGAGGCGATTTTTTTACATTTTTCGCACATACGTATTTACGATGACAATACAATATTTCAGACTTACAGTGAGTGTAAAAAGTATTCGTACACCCTTTAAAACGGAACAACTCTTTTAAAATAGGTCTAAATGACTCGAGTTTTTTTTTGTAAATAAAAATTTAATAAATTTTTGAAAATTTTTTTTTTGAAAATTTAATAAATACATATCGAAGATTTATGTTAGTTATGTACATACTGAAACTTTCATTGAAATCGGTTAATACAGAAACGAGCGACAGACATCAAAAGATGTGAGAATTGTTAGATTTACTACAGTTGTAGATCGAAAGTCGGGAAAAACTGCGATTTTCAACATTTTTAATCGTTTGCATCTCGTAGCAACGTTAACCGATTTTGATGAAATTTTCAACATGTATATAACTAACATAAATCTTCGATATGTATTTATTAAATTTTCATTATAGCCTCAGATTAAAAAGTTGTAAAACACGACCTTTAATATTTTCTTCGCGATTCGGACCAATTGCAACTTTTTCAAATGTTTTTTATTTACATCATTTAGTAAATTAAAATCTCTAACTTCACAAAAAAACTCAAGTCATTTGGACCAATTTTAAAAGAGTTGTTCCGTTTTAAAGGGTGTACGAATACTTTTTACACCCACTGTATATTGACAGACAACCCCACCAATATGTGTATCTATCAAAAGGTCTAAGTGAGCAGACATCAGTTGGAGTTGACCACCATTCTCCTATCCACGGATTTTTACATTATCAAAAAACCCCAGCAAAATGGGTACCTATCTATGGAAAGGACTAAAACAGTAATGTTTGAGTTATGTCGTATATTGCAGTAAACAAGCGACTTGTGACTAAAACTATAAAACAATTGTGGGGCACCCGTAAAAGAATATCAAGAAGGATTGATTTTGGGATCTATGTTGTTTAGACATTTTTTACTCCACTCGGTGAGTATTATAAGTAGACTGTTGATTTTATGCATTTGTAGCACGCGTGATTATCTCAAACTCCGCATAATGTACACTTTCATCAAGTGTAGCAAGTGTTTAACCAATGTAAATCTCGATAAAAGACTTAATGGAGCAAACAAATTTCTGTCTGATTCTAGCCTCTCTTAATTAATCTATGAAAATTTATATTTCATATCTACAGTCATGGACCCTTTTCTTAAACACCCTGTATACGACAAGGAGGATTGAGGAAAGAATACACAATTTTGGTGATTCCTCTCATTTCCGGTCTGGTAACGTCACGATTCGAGAAAAACTCGGGTATCGCCGCTCTCATCGTGAAATACATGTCCAGCTTCCTCTTGCACTTTTCCAAGGAGAACTTGCTGCCACGAAGGAACGTCATTATTCTGTGATCATCTGAGGCGAACAAAAAAGCGGCGTGAGAAAGGTCGGACGAGAAATGTCAAACGATCGCATGTGAATAATCTCGGAAAGAGGAACGATCAACGTCATTGTTATGATTTTGCTGGAGTAATTGCGCAGGCTTGTGTCTCGAGACAAATAACCTAACTTATTCAGCTAGTTTTGATTTGAATGACCCTGCCAGACGATTATTTCAGCCAACTTGTTTATGCTTGTCATGCTCAGACTGTGGTACCCAATTAAAGAATTCTTATTGCGCGGACCTGTATCGAAAACAAGGTATAATGTAATTATTCGACGAGGAAACCACTCAGAAACGGATCAAGGGGGGTGCCGCTAGGGGAAGCTATAGCCCGGGCCTTACTTTCCAAGGGGGCCCTATTCTAAGCCATACATTCATGTATGCCAAAAAATAATTTTTAAAAAATAATTTTTACAAAGACCTGGGATACATTTCGTAAGTTCCCCTCGTAAGAAGAAGCGGGAATGTGTACTTTTTATGAATTATAAACCGCTCAAAATGTAATTACCCTCGAATTTAGGCAAATGTGGTTGCTTGGCGAGCCATTCTTTGATAATTTCAACATCCTTGTCGCGTGTCGTTACATCCTCATTCAGCTCCACGCGAATCTGTTTCGACATCTCCTCTGACGGTTGAATCAGCAACATCTGAAAGTAATTTCCGAATATACATATAGATACGAACTTTCGATCCTTTAATGATCTAATTAAAGCAGAATTACTTAAAACTTTGCGACAAAATTGTTGGATTATTTAAATTTTCTGTGGCCGATGTTGCTAAAACAAGATGAATGGGACCGAAACACGGAAATTTATCCCGGCGAAAGAAATCGAACGACCTTTGCTTTATCAAAGTTCAAATTGTAGATCTCTATTAACGCAAAGAGTTACATAAATATATTATTTAATATACATGTGCAATGTGTATGTACAGTAAACTATACAAAATTAAAACAGTAAATTTCATCGACTTTTAGGTATTCCTTTCATATCATTTTCGTTTCTTAGAAAATTTAACATTTAAACTAACGTCACCTGTAATTTACAGGTTTCTGATACGTGAATAAAATTTTAAACTTAATTGAAATAATTTAAATGACCAGACGAAGTAATGTGAATTGTTCAATTAATAGCGATAGTAATAAATAAAAATAAGTTAGAGAATGCTGTTATAGGGACCATTTAACTAAATTTGACGATTCAAATATGTCTTTTGTTGTTTTTACACGTGCAATATAGAAGACATTTACAGTGTTTTCGTATTCAATGCATTGTAGTAGATCGGTACGTTCTGCTGATTAAGCACACCCTAATGAAGGCCATTTATCTCCATTCAGCTGGGTAATAAATAATGGTGCGAGTAAATACATTGATTAAGTTGATCCGTCACCTACAGTTTGCTGGGGGTATGCATTAATTCAAGTGAACTCATCAAAATACCCTATTAACACAGTGAAATCTCGATTGTACTTCATCGATAGTGTGGGACAATTATTTGACCACCTGAAATATCTTCGTCATTTTTTTCAATATGAAAGAACATTATTTACAAAAGTTGTACTGTACTAAGAGATCCGAGGCATATGAGTAATCATTTTTTCGCGAGTGGGCTTTTTTATAACTATCAAGGTCACCTCTATTTATTTAAGTGACGTACTATTCCTTCTTTAAATCTAATAGAATAGTACATGACTTTGGACGGTTTCAACGACTTATAGTTCAAAATCAATAGACGTTAACATCAGAACTATTGAAAATGAATGTGTTTCTATTTCAGTCACGTTGGTAAAATGGATAGCTTGTTGAAAATATGCAAATTTATTGGAAATCTGAAGAATCTTAGAAAATACATTGTAGTGTCACTTTAATAAATTTGATGTGTTTACATACTAGTCATTTTGACTGCTTTGGTAATTGTAGTGTTATGTAAAGGAGTGAAAGAACAATCTTTATGTTACCAGAGGTTCTCAAAGTGATTAATGTCTGTTTGGTGATGTCAGTGCAAACGGACACCGCTTCGGGCACCTTGTATGACACCAGAGTCGTCCTTTTACTGCATTAGTTAATGTTGATCGACCTTGTACTGTAAGTGGTTGGAATCGACTGAATAAATGTTATTCTAGTAGGGATAAAAAAAAGGACAGCATATCATTTAAAAAAGAAGGTTACCATGAAATCTCCGAGAACCGTTCACCCACAAAAAAATATCACTGATATGTTGTAACCCTCTCGATACTGTACACCTTTTGTAAATAAAGCTTTTTACATCTGTAACTATGACGAATAGATTCTAGGTCTAGGTGGTCAAAGTTATTGCCCAAAAGTACAATGGGTAACGAAGGTAAGTACACAGTGAATTTTCGAATGAACTAGTAATGTTCATGAACTAAAAACTTAATGTTATATAAAGTAATGTATAATCAGTTATAGAACATGGTATGCTTAGGTAGAATAAATGATAAAATTTGTATTAATTAATAATATATTTATAGAAAGATATAAAAACGATTATTACTAGAAAAACGTACGTAGGAAAACTAGGTAAACACTTTTTGATTTACGTAATTAATGGTCACAATGATGGCCATTCTCTAGTGACATTTTTGCCAAACGATCAGGCAAGGAGTGTATGTACTTCCTAGATTCGTCAACCGTAAATGATTGCCACTTTTCTTCTATTAAATATTTTAACTTGTTCATATTTGTCGGCCTATTTTCAACTCTCTTTAGCTTAAGAATTGCCCACGTATTCTCAATAGGGGATAAATGAGGGCTCTGCGGTGACCACTCTAAGATATTAATACAGTTTTTTTTTATATAATTTGTCACAATTGCTGCTTTGTGTGTCGAAGCATTGTCTTGTTGCAGAATGAAGTCATCCCCTATCAAGCGTTTGCACTCAAAAATGATTACTTCTTGTAATAATTTTAAGTACACGGAAGCGATAACTTTGCCATTTAATGTTACAATTTTTCCTACTCTAAATGATGAAACACACCCCCACACTAGAACGCCTCGATTCATTGATTTTAGTGTCGGTTTAGAATACGAACCTCTTTCCATGACTACTTTTTAGTAGTGTCATCGATTCGGTCCATAGTATTTTTGACCAGAATGTTAGAGATTTTAATATGCGTGCATAGTAAAAATTCATTCTTTTTTAAATATTTTATTTATTTTGGGTTAGATGTCACCAAGTTTACTTTTGGCCGGGGAAAATGATAAAAGCGAATAGTATCATTTTTACATGTACGACTGTTACAACCATATACACAGCAATATATTTTAAATACTTTTATTTTTTCTAGGAGAAAATTTCATGGTGTAACTTTTTATGATTGTTTAAATACTTGTGACTGTTATTATAGCGACTAATTTAAAGGCATTAAATAGCACAACAAATAAAACACGGGTTTTTCTCAACCTGTCTATTTGAACAGTGTTGATCATATGGATACTCGATCTACTCTCAGTAGTTTTAGTTTCTGTCAGTACACTTGTGCAACTTGCACGAATCCCTATGGAATCATAACATATATTGATGGAGGGTATAACTTATTAAATAAATGATTTTTCATCGAATTACGAAGGTAGGAATTTATAAAAAGTTAATTTTATTTAGAATCTGTGAAATCAGTTAACCGAATGTTGAACTTCGAGTCGGCATAACAAGCTGAAATGCTAACAAAATAAAAATCGAATCCATATTTTAGATTTAACAGGTTTAGTATTTTGCAGAAAAAACATTTATAATACGAGAAAGCTAGAGATAAAATTTAATAGCACGAGGGGACTAATTAATAGGCTATGGCGAATTTTTTTTTAACATTATTATTTTAAGGGATACAAAGGTCACGTTTGATTTTTTAAATGGAATTATATATGTTTTGTTAGATCATTTAATAGTACGTTTCAAGAGGAATTCAGTAATATTAAATGTATACACCGTTTTTCAAATAATTTTTTAGATATTGTGCTTAAAAATTTATTGATTTTCAACGGAAGAAAACCTGCTCGAGTGAGAAGCACCGGAGGTGGTTTTGTTAGCGCCTTAAGTGCCACGTAAAGCAGTAAATTTGTAATCGGAAATACTATTTGAAAAAGGTGTATACATTAAAGATTACTGAATTCGTCTTGAAATGCACTACCAAGTCGTATAAAAAAATATATAATTCAATTTAAAAAACCAACTTGACTTATACTTGTATCACGTTTTGCTTGTAACTCATCACATCGTTACAGCGGGTTACAGCGTGTTTACAGCCCAAGTGTAATCCAGGTTACTGGGTTTCTGCATTATAGTTAAGAGCCGAACTGGGTTCGGGTTACGATTACAACCCCTGAATTCGAAGGCTCCTTGGCACTACAGATTAAATATTTCATTTTTTATTCTATCACTGTGCTAAATCTCGTTAAAAAGACAGCGTTACATCTCGAGAACTCCCCTTATCAGTGCCGAGAAGCTTTCGAACACTCATCGAGGATTTACTGTATTCGAATAATGCAATCAATTTCTGGGATTTATTACTCGCAGTAATCGAGACCTACCTGTATATAGAAAGTACAGAAAAAAGCTACAATTTACTGTATTGATTTTAAATATCTTACCTAAAAGTAAAGTTAAGTGAAATATTTTCAACTACTTAAAAAAATTGCCTAGATTGGACTCTAATTGACTTTGCACTTTGTATGTAGAAACCAAGCAAGAAGATTTACAATATATAAAATATCGCACTTGGGTTCATACACTGTGTGTTGGAGTAAGGGCAAAAGTTTAAAAATACTATTGCTTAAATTGTTGACATTTCTATTCGTCATTACAAGATGTACTAAGCAAATAACATTAGAACAATGATTCTTTACTATGCAATTTTGCATATATGCCGATATCTGTATAATAATTTTTGTATATTTGTTCCTAAGAAAACTTAGCAATTTTCACATTTCAGTCAAATGGTCCAACTTAAGAAACCTAGGGTCCATCCTGGGAAACGGGTTGCTTTGCTTGGACCGACGCCACAATCATAAAAAACCACCTTTTTGTATGATATCTCGGAAATAATAAGTTACGTTATCTTGAAGACATAAGTAGCGATACTCTTTTCCGTTACCTTTCAAATATTAAAAATATTTTTCTATCGACCTTGAACAAAAATACTTTAGTGATTCAAATTCCATAACCTTCCTCTAGACTTCTGGTAGGTCCTGTACGCTGCTTGGGAAAACTATAAAACCACTCTAAAGTTTTCAATTCTTACGTATGGTGGTTAAATACATTTTGTGAAATAATGTTTCTCCAGAAATGGATACATTATATTCCCTAGAAAAAAAAGTAGTTCGTTTTTATTTTAATCACAATATGTAAGGATTGAAAATTTTAGGGTGGTTTGATAGTTATACCATGCAGTGTATGAACAAACATTATAGCAATTTATACAATATTTTCGTTTGCGTTACCAACAAGATCAAGGAATAACAGCTTTGGGCATTTTTTCAGGTTTCGGACGTAACTAACGAGCCTGACATTATACTTGCTGCAATGTTCCGCGTGCAACGCGTAATGCCCACTGTAACAGGTTGCGCAAATGGCCGGCACATATACATACATGCATCCTTCTTATGTGAGAAATTAATGCTGACTAGAGAGG